CCACTTGACAGTATGGCCATTGGCCAGAAAGACAGGACAGCCACATGCCTCTTTCTTGTACACTACCCTGCTCCAGTAGTGCCCCTCCCCCAGGCCTGATCCCTCCGGGGGAAACCCAAGGCAGGAGCAGGAGAGAGACGTTCCTGTGAGTCTGACGTGCAGCGGCACCCCCCCAAAGGGCAGCGTGTGTGGAACTGCTGTACACGTCAGATGCACTGGTGCTTCGCCCTTACAGGCTCTCACTGGGATCCCAATTTGCTGTCAGGCTCGGAAAGCACCCAGAGAGCAAGGTGGCACACGGCCTGATTTATAAGTGCTTCAGTAACAGCGAGCAAAACCAGGCCTCGTCCGAGTTCAGCTGGCTGGCCGCCCCAGAGATAGCCATTAGTGCTTGCTGCACCGTGGACACCACACCCGCCCTCTCCAATTCCTCAGCCAGAGCCAGGGGGCTTGTTGGGGGGTGGCAGGAGGGAGGATGAAGGGTTCCCTGCTGCGGGGGTCAGGTCCCAGCAGGCAGAGGCCTGGAAGAAGTTCAGGTACCCTGCTGGGATTCAGGGGCCGCAGCAGGGCCCTACTTTGATGCTCACACAGTGCTGCCAACACAGTAGCCCGCTAGGATGGGGAGCAACGCACAGACCCTGCTGGCCAGCCCAGACCTCAGCATTGAACCCCACTGGCCAGGCCCTGAGTGGCTTGCTAGGGGCACCCCACCACATTCCAGCGCTACGCCCGTCCACTTCTAAAAGCCCCTCCCCCAGTCTTGAGGGAGGGACCCCTGGACCCAGGGCCCAACTAGTTCCGAGGAACAAATGATGAAAAAACGGTCTGTGGGTCAAAGGGTTAAAACAAGCAGCAGCTCTTACCCTCTTGCTCAGGCCGGCTCCCTTGCAGAGAGGTAGGATCCAACTCCCTTGGGGGCGCCACGTGCCAGATCAGCGTTTCCCAAACTATGGGCCGCAGGAAAAAAATACCAGGCCTCAGTGGCTGCCAGGTGTTCCGGACTCCCGGACTCTCCGTGAGCGCCGGGTTCCCCAAGCCCTCAGCCAGGCTGGGCAGATGCAGCCATATGTGTCAGGCTCCCAGCAGAGGCATAGTGAGGGTTACCAGGTGAGCTCTCATTGCTGGCTGTGGAGGAGGGAGTGGGGGTTGGATATGGGCCGCAGGGAAGCAGTGGAGCTGCCCGGGGGAGATAGGGAGGGGAACCGGCCAGCGGAAGCAGGGCTGGCTGGGAGGGGTGGGGAGTGGGAGCAGTGGGGCTGGCCAGGGGAAATCACGGGCTGTGTCTAGACTGGAAAATTTTTCCGGAAAATCATCTGCTTTTCCGGAAAAACTTGCCAGCTGTCTACACTGGCTGCTTGAATTTCCAGAAAAGCACTGACAATCTCATGTAAAATCATAAGTGCTATTCCGGAAACACTATGCTGCTCCCGTTCGGGCAAAAGTCTTTTTCCGAAAGACTCTTGCGCAAAAGGGCCCCTGAATGGAAATGTAAGAGCAGGGCCTTTTAAATATCCCCATTGCTGACAGTGAGGTTTACAGGCACTGCAGTGTGTCAGAATGGAGAGAGCCTGGGGCGTTCACCATCCGGAATGAGAATATGGAAACAAAATTCCAAAGATGGTGTCGGCTTTCTGAAAATAAATGAGCCCCCTTTTCAATACATGCCGTGGGGGTGCAGGGTTTTATTGGATTACAGTCCATTTTTCCAATCCATATTCCCTTAACTTGCTGGTAAGAATGTTGTGGCCATCTCAAAAGCTTTGCTACAGCTGGCCCTGGGGGCTTTGGGAGGACCCAAACCAACATATT